CCCCAAAACCCCAAAACCCCAAAACCCCGTATGGGAGATTTTTGGTTGAAGGTGGGGTAATAAGAATGGGGATTTATGGAGATTATGGGAGTTAGAGGGGATTAGATGTTGGGGAGGGTTTTGAATGCTGAGTATGGGTTTTGAAGGAGAAGTCTTGATGCTAGAAGGAGTGGGTAAGATATGGAGTTTTGATTATAAAGTGATATTTTCACCAAAATGAGAGTAATTATAGAGATGGGATATTTAAAGAAGGAATTAGGTCTTCCTTGAGCTTATAATTTATAAGTCTCAAAAGATATGCCATTCGTTGCCTTCTGTCATAATTTAAAAAGGTGGTATAGAAACTGAAGATTCATTGTTTTCATGAACTAATTTACCCAAGTTATTTTATTGCTTTCGGTCAGTTTTGAACCAAAAACCCTCTGTGATTTGCAAGATGGCCTAGATATTAGAAATTTAAACACTAGGAGACTCAGGATTGGCGTATTAAATCTCTTAGTGATAGAGAAATTATGAAAGATGTTTCTAAGGCTGACATTTTGAATGAATTATATTCTGAAAATTTAAGGTAATTTTCTGTATAAATTTACTAATTCTACAATTTAGTGATGTGAATTTATAATCACTCACTATACTTCCTCATTGGAGTACTTTCTGATACATATAACTGCAATAATCTCCATAATGGACAACTTTTCTTTCTCCTAATGCTCAGATGTGTTATTGGCTCTCTTCGCTCTGCTAATCAATATTTTAGCAGTTATCAGCAACCAAATTAATTCTACCAAATTGTGGTTTACTACATCAAATAACTATACTGCCATTTTAACATTCTGCAATGAATTTTGAAGATTTTCAGAATTCCTAGTCCTCTAGTTTGAAAACTTCAGTTATGGTTGATTCTTTTACTGTGGCTGCAGCTTTTATAACCCTAAATAGACTGATTCCTTAATTACAAAGAGAGAAATTAACTTACAAATTTGCGGTTTACGAACTTTAGATTATATTATTAACTATTTTTCGACCAGAAGTTAATGATTATTAATCCTCGAAGAATATTTGGAAATTCTGTAACTGCCTGATAAGCACATATATAATCTGAAAAACTCTTAAAAGCCATATAAGTTTTGGAAGAATTTTATGTACAAGTTATTTATTTGGACGGAGGCGAAGACTCCTTCTTTATGTTTAAAAGTAGTGTTTGAGATCCTCCATTAATGCTGTTTAAGATTCTGTGTGATGATAACTTTTGATCAATTCTTCACTTATGTTTCCAAGAAGAAACACTCTTGCCCTTAATTTTGTTACGGATATTAGAATAGTTCCAAGATGAATAATTCTTGAGTTTCTTGAACTCATTCAAACTTTGTTCTCTGTTCCTGAGCTTAATCTTCTCTACCAACGACCCAAGCCTTGGTGTTGGGTGCAAAATTGCAATTTCTCCATCATCTTTAATCTGTGGGATCATCATTGAGCCTTCAGAGTTATCTCTATCGCACATCTTTGTTGTAGGTCTAACATGGCCTTTGTCAGCTACAAGAACATTGTCATTGTTCTCCCATTTGTAGACACTGTTCTTAGGCAGAGGCTCATCTCAGTCATCGGAAACAACACATTGAGAGTCATCCCAGAATAAATTGTTTGAAGCTTTCATATTTGTAAATTATTAATGATTCCAATCGTGATTGTTTAAGTAGGGGTTTTGGGGTTTTGGGGTTTTGGGGTTTTGGGG